CCCGAGAAGAGCCGGGGTGCCCCGGGGCTGCAGCGCAGCCGGGGCGCTTGCGGGTTAGCTGCAGGGACGCCGGGGCGATGAACTCTGTCTGACTCTGGCAGAGTCAGTGGAAAAAACAAGAAAAAAAAAAGAAAGAAAAAAGACTGTTTGGGGATTTGGCGGAGAAGCAAATATGGCAAGAGCGTTCCTCTGCACGGCTGGGGTGCTGGGGAGAGGGTGCCACCCCCCCGAGCACAACTAAAAGAGCCAGGAAAAATGGGACAAGTGCTGTTGCACTAATAAAAATACTTCAATAATCAGTTTTAAAATGCTGCAATAAAATATTCAGTCTATTTTCTGGAGAAAAAAAACCTGTATGCATTTCTTGAATATATGTTTTGTTACAATGGGGGTAGCTTTTGCCATTTTACTTTTTCTTCCAAAAGTCATTTCATGATCTAAGAATATCTTTGTTCAGAGTAGATGGACTGTCTCTAGGAATTACCCAGCTGTGGACTGCAGTGCAGTTCTGCTAATAGTGATCTACATGGAAAGAGTTTCCCGCTGGAGAAGCTGCAGTGCTCAGTCCATCTGCTTTACCATGGCTGAACTGATCCCTGAGCTCTTAGGGAAGGCGAGACCTGTATTATCAGTGAACCAACCAACCAACCAAGGGTGATTTAAAGATTTCTCTCCTGGTCAGGCCTCGCCGTGTGAAGATGATCAGCTTCTATTTTACGGCATGCAGTCATGATTTGAAAACATTAAGAGATGACAACACGCTACTTCTTTGGGTATTTTTTTGCCAAGTTCACTACTTTGTCTGCTAAAACTTGGGGTTTATTTCTAACATGAAGGTTTCAGCTTCCAACAGTGGACCTAGCTACGTGTCTGCTAGACCTTTTCTCTCTTTTAATTTTACTACACTGTGAACTGATTTGGATCTTGGTCTATCTTGTTCCTGATAAACTAAATAGGCTGTGTCCTTTACATCTCCCGCACTCCCTAAGGCTCAAACTTTTTACATCTTTTCCAGAGCTGGAACCACTCTCTCCTGTTTCTGAAGGTGCCTTGCAAAAGGGATACCAGGACAGTACCAAACACTGCAGTCTCTCTCTCACTAATGGTTCATACAGAGCTAAGATCACCTCTCTATTTCCGATCACAATTTTCCACTTAGGTATCTAAGCTTCTCATTAGTCCTTTCTGGAAACTTCTGTTCCGCCACTTATTCTCTCTGACCCATAAATCCTTCCCCAAGCCACTGTTTTCCATGTTCTGGTCACCCCCACAGCGCAGGGAACCGTGGGAGGCCTGAGGCATATGGCACCCACCGTTTGTAAGGACCAGCAGGCCTGTGGCAGACCGGTTGGAACGGTTAATTCATCAGCCTTCACGATTGCTCAGGCAGGTAGAAATGGATGGTTTGAAAATATGTGGAGTTTATTTCCCCCACCTCTCTGCAAAGGCAGGAGTTTGAAAAGGAGTATTAATTAAATAAGTAATCTACAGGATTGCTGCTGACCTTTACAAGCACAGAGGCTAGGAGGGCCGTGGGTACCCAGCGGGAGCCCAGGCAGGAAAAGGATGCCAGGAGGCTGCTTACCAGTGGTACCAGTGAAAGCCAAATAGGCAAGCTGATCCATAACACCAAGAGATGCTCTGGGGTTCGCAAGGCAAGGAGATCTGGGCAGAAGGACCTAACAAGTCAAAAGACGCTCCAGTAAAGAAATGAGGGTAAGGGTTGTTATTTTTGTTGGGTTTACCCCCTCATGTGGTTCAAATAAAGAATAATTTATTATCCAACTCAAATTCAATATGAACACATATTGTATCTTGGAGAGTTCAGAGGTAAATTCACATTGTGTGTTTGAAGCAACTTGAGTGTTTCATTGTCTGCTTTTCTAAATACCAAGACTTGGAATTCAGGTCTAATGTAGAATTTGGCTCTGGGGTAGCTCTTGCACACACTCTCACTTTCTTCTCTCCAATACATGAACAGAAAAAGTAATCCCTGACTGCAGTATGAATCTCTCAGATGGATGGATGCATGCCAATGCAAACATTAATTTTGCTACTAAAGAATATGTAGCCAGCATACAGGAAAACTACAATTAACAAAAACAGTCCCTTTCACTGAGAAGCAAGTGTGTCTAAATAGTTTAATCTCTACATATCTGCACTTACTTAATGAAGTTATCAAACTATTACCAACCAGTGGGAAAAGGAGGTATCATGAGAAGTGCCTGTGGTCCATTAGAATATTTTTTAAAATCCTCTTTTCCTCCCACCTTTTTTTTGACACTGTTGACTAATACCTAGCAGGAGTTCCCTGAACCACTCTGACTCCAGTCGAGGCCAGCAGCTCACTGCTGTGGTCTGAAGCGTGAGCTCTTTCTGAAGGCAAAATCTGGTGTGTCTTCACACAGGAAGGATTCTCACTGTATGGGGGAGGAATAGGACACGAAGCTCACCATTAATGCTTAGACACCTACTAAACTAGTACCTGTCTGTAACTCTTGCTGCACATTTAGCGTGCAGATTGATGCAAATAAAATGCCACCACATCTAGGATGCAAACATCTGAGGAATCCCCTCTCACTTTAATTTCTGAGGAACTCCTTCTCACTTTAATTCCAAAGTTACATGCTTTCTTTACAAACTGAGTGTATCTTCATTTTTAATAACAAAGTCTTCTTACATCTGGAAGAAAGAGCGGTAGTTAAAGCCGTATCTACTGCTACTGCATGCACTTGTAACGCATTATGTGACAGCCTATTTTAGAACGGTGATGCTTTAAACACACAGGGCTAATTATCACTAGGAATATCTCTGTGGAGACAAAAAGTTAGATGAACATGGTGTGGGTGGTTTTGTCGTGCCGCAGAAAAAGAGGGTGCGCTAGATGGACATCTAAGCCCTTCACTCCCGTCCTATTCAATTCCTACTGGAAGCATAGCACTCCTAAAATATTTCTGGGCTCATTCACGGACTATCAAATCCGGTGGCATTCACAGAAAGGTGGCAAGAATGATCGAGGGCACACATCATTCAAGAGAGGTGGAAAAGTTACTTGTATTAACAAGGGGGTGTGCTGTACTGTATGATATTATGTATCTACGAATACTAAAATACTGACGAGACTGGAGAAGTTAAATTAAGCACTTTCGGTTTTTACCCATTTAATATCACCTTTCAGTGACTGCATCACTCAAGCTCTCTCCTGATGTCGGTTAGGAGAAAAAAAAAAGTAGGATAACGTATAACTGTGGTCGTTTGATTCATGCCTTAGCAAGTTTAGAACTGCTGAAGGAAGGTATTTCCAATCGCTAGGTAATCAAACTGAGACTCATTGCCACACGATTTTGTTGAGGTCAAGATTTTAACTAAATTCTGCAAAAAAAAAGAGTGCTTAAGTAAGAATATCCAGCCAGTACAGTCTGGGTTAATAAATGATTCTGAAAGATTTCTGATACAAACCCACCCATTTCAGGGTGTAAGCCAATCTCTACTTATTGCAGATGAGACCTTTAACAAATATTTTCCCCAAAAAAGATTTCTTGTGTGTTCTTCTAAATCACGGTCAAATCCAGAAATGGGTTTACAAACTGTAGATCACAAGTTTTAGGCTGTACTTCACTCACTATGTTTCTGTATTCTAATAGCAAATGAAAGCATGGCCTCCCAAATTTGCTTCATTTATGTTTCTTCA